ATCATAAATCAAGTATTAATATAGAGAGATATTTTGGGATGAGGTTTGTATTTAGGTTGATAATAAAGAAGATTTAGATGATAATGATGAATTATCAGATTACATAAATAAGGTGCTGAGAATCTCAAAAAAGAATATAAATGTTAGATATAAATTTGATGGCAATTAAATTGTCTATTAGGACAAATATTCTAAATTAATTACTTTAGGAGAGATGTTGAAAATAATAGCTAATAGATAATCCAGATGTTATATTTGTAATAATTTAATGGATGAAAATATTAAATTAGATGATCTAAATTTAGATCAAAATACAGAAATTACAATATAATGTACTAGTAGAGCATAATTTATTGAATTCAATAATAATCTTAATAAATTTGAGATAGATTTCTATCCTGAAGATATAATTGGTCAAGCTATTAAGAATCATATTAAAGGAAAGTTTATAATTTAATAAGATAATAAAGAGTTAAACCTTTAAAAATCATTTCAAAGTGAAAACATATAAAATGGTGCTGAATTGATTTATATTTTTTTAGTGACAATTAAATTTAAGGATTTTGAAACTAAAGAATTATTGTTTTCACAAACTTATAAAGTTAATATGAAAATTAGCTAGATTCTTAATTAGAAAAATTTTAATAAAGCAAAAGTTTATTATTTAGAGAAGGAAATCAATTAAGATAAAACATTAGCAGAATTAGGTATAATAGATTATTCAGAATTAAATATTGAAGTTTTAGAGAATATATTGATATTACATTTAGATGATAAGATAACAAAAATTATTATTGATTCAAATATAACTATTTAAACTCTAAAGTAATAACAAAATCTAAATAATGAAATTTATTAAATTTATGCTATACATGATTAAACATAAGTTTTATCAAATGATATTATTTTAAAAACTTTACTTAATGAAAATAATGAGATTGAATTAATATTTAAAATGAATAATTCTTATATCTAAATTCATTTAATAGATAATGAAGATAGATAATATACTGAAAATGTATAATTGAATTAATAGGTAAAAACATTCATCAATGAATTAAAAATTAAATACAATTTGGATGAAAATCCACAAATTTTTTATGAAGGTGAAATACTAGATCAAGAATAATATTTCTCAGAGTTATAGATTACTAAAGATACCTTATTTGAAATTATAATATGAATTAAAAAAAAGTTAAATAAGTAAATTAATATAATTATATATCACATAAATGGTTAAGGTCTAGATGTTTAACCTAGATTTACTATAATTTTAAGTCTATCATTTTCATCTCTTAATCTCTTATTTTCTTATTCTAAAATATGTGAATTTTCTAATTCATTAAATCTTAGTCTTACATAAATTTGTTGAATTTACAACAACTCTTTAAATTGGTTAAATATTCTATTATTATTAGTTCTAAAATTAGACTTATATATTTTCTATTTATTCTTTCAAATGAGTATTTTCAACCTCTAAATCAGCAGCTGTTTTTAATACATATTCTAATTCATCAAATCCTTTTCTAAAATATATATTTTTTTTATTATTTACCTAAGATTATCTAATTCTTATTTTAATCTTTAATTTTCTTTTTAAACAATATCTGCTTATCTCATTATATCTTCTACACTACTTTTAGATAATTTAAGACTATCTAATTCAGTTCTCAATTATCTATTCTCTTTTTCCAATTGATTTCTATCTGAAATAAATCTAGCTGTTAATTCTCTTATTTCTCTATCTATTGATATTCTTCTTTATAATTCTTTCTAATAACGTTAATCTTCACTTTCTTTCTCTCTATTAACATATTTTACTCTCCATTATTCACTTTCATATTATAATTAAGCTATCTTTTTTTCATAATCTCCTATTTTATTTCTCAATTAAATTAATTCTCCTTCTATTAACTCTACTCCTTTAAATCTTAATTCATTTTAATTAACATATTCTCCAATCCTTCCATTCTCTTCTCTCAATCTATCATTTTCCACTGATAATAGAAATGCTACCATATAAACATCTTCTCCTAACCAAGGTTTTATAGGTGGTTATCCTCCTTACATCTCTTAAAAATTTGGTCTTTCTTCAATCACTTTTGCTTGAATTTGTTATTATTAGAATCTCATCTTCTAATCAAAATGAGCTTAATTTAAATTTGAAGGTAATTCTCTAGAGGGTGCAGGCAACTATCTATATTGTGAAACTAGCATTTTTGACAGTTAATAAATAAATATTAAATAGAAATATTTATATATATATATATTTTTAATGATTCAAAGAGAAATAGAGATTAAGTTAAGAAATACAAAATTAAAATTCTAGATCCAATACAGACCTGAATAAAAAGTAATTGATATCTTAAACAAATTAATTATTGATTTGAAATTGCCATAAAATACTTCTATTCCAAAATTATATTATAAAGGAGCATGTTTAGATAATTCTAAAACATTGGATTAATAAGGAATTATTTAAGTTAATATAGAAGCTGAAGTAGAATTTATTGAAAAAATTGTGGTTACTGTTAATAATTAGATTTTGGACAAACAAAATCTTAAATGTGAAATAATTACTTCTTTAAATGAATTAGGTTCTATTCTATTAAAGAAATTAAATTTTAATTAAGATTATTTAGTTCGATTTGCTATGAATGGATTAGAATTAAATAAGGGAAAAAATTTGATTGAAATAGCACCATGGGAAAATATGACATATTAAATATTATCTCATAATTACTTTATATATGATTCAACATAATATTAACTAGAAATAGATGTTACAAAATCTATATAGAATTTATGTGAAATGATTAGTCAAATGATAAATATCAATAGTGAATAAATTCAAATAGATTCATTTAATAAAGAGGATCCTTTCTATTACTATCAAGTAAATCCTAATACAGAATTGAAATTACGTATTGAAGATATTCAAAATAATAACTAAGTTACTATTTCAATTGTCTATGGTCAAATTACACATTAAATGAAAATATTAAAAGATGAAAAATTAGAAACATTAATAAATAAAACTAAAACATCTTTTTTCCCTCATAATTATTCTTCAGTTAATGTGAAATTGGTATTCAATGGCATAGAATTAGCTAATAATAATACTATTAATTCATATTAAATTGTAAATAATAGTGTTATTTAATTGATTGTAACAAATATGTTAGAGAAAATCTAAATTTGTATTTAAAATAAAGAAAATCCAGTACTTAAAAAGAAAACTAAAATATCATTAGATGAATAATTGTCTTGTTTAGATAGAGATGTATTTTTTAATAAATAAATGGACTATTTTTATTAAAATAAATAATTAGATAAGAAATAAACATTTCGTTAATAATAAATAACAAAAAATGATACTATAATTGAATATAAACCAATAGAGGGAGTATAATTAGTAATAAAGTTCAAAAAACTTGATGAATAAAATCCAGTTGAAGTTTAAGTACAATCAAATGAATTATTATCTAAATATATTTATTAATTAATTGGAAGAGAAACTAATGATGTATGGGTGAGTTGTAAAAATTAAACAATTAATGATATTAAATAAACATTTTCTGCCCTATAAATTTAGAATGATTTGATATTTTATTAACCTTAATAAATTCTATTAAAAGTATAATATAAAGATAATCTATATGATATTTATCAAAAAAGAGATTTATGTGTAATAGATTTATATAATAATCTAAGAAATTATTTTCAAATAGATGAATCATAAGAATTTGAATTATAATATGGGGATGAAATTGTTTAAGGTTAATTATTGTGTAAAAAATTATGGGCATCATGTTAAAATTGTTATAAAATTGTACCTATAGAAAATGCTTAAAATGATAGAAATACTAAATTATATAAGATTTATTTTATAAATTAAGACAAATATATTGAAATAAATATGAATCCAGATAAAAAAATAAGTGATTTATAAAAAGAATTTTTATAAAAATAAGAATATCCTAAAAATTAACCTATTGAATGTTATATGAAAAATAACACAAACATAACACTTAATAAAGAAGATCTATTAAATACCTTGAATGAAGATGAACTTTAAATTTAAGTGAAAGATATTATTTATTTAAGAGCATATGATAAAATTAAAGATGAAGAATCTTATTATGAAATTTATTTCAATTCTAAGATATCTTCTTTATTATAGTGTCTAAAACTGGATGGTTTTAATTGCAATTTCTTTTATAAAAATTAATTAGTTAATTAAGATAAAACTTTTTAAGAAATAGAATTTTTTGAAATGGATACAATTGAATATGAAATTCTAAATAAGAAGAGTTCATTAATATAAATAACTCTAATTCAAAAGAATTAATAAGAAGAAATTGAATTAGATGAAGAATTAACTATTAAAGATTTAAGACAAAAATTAAATATTAGAAATATAGATGAAGCAGAATTATTATTAAATAATCAAACTACAATTAAAGATGAATAAAAACTAAAAGAGATTGCAAAAGATGGGAAATTGACATTAACATTAAAAGAAAAAATCATAAAACCCTAATAACAAAATAAATGCACTTTAATTATATCTATTAAAGATATCAAATATCAAATAGAATATGAGTAAAATAAAAAAGTAGAAGATTTAAGATTATTCATTATAAATCAATATCAATAATAAAATGATATTGTTATTAGATATGGTAATACTATTTTAAATCCTTCTGATCCTATACCTAATTAACCTGATCTTCTTATTGTTTCTCCATTTACAATAAAAGTGATTATAAAAATCAATAAATTAAATCAAATCTATTAAAGATAATTCAAACCTAATTAAAAAATTGGTGATATTATCTAAGATTTTGTTAAGTAATATAAAATAAAAAATAACTCTACAAATTTGGCATGGAATGGTTAAATCCTAGATGTTAATAAAACTCTTAAAGAATCAGGAGTAACAGATGGTACCGAATTGAATCTATTGATTTGAAATATATATATATATTTAATTATTTATGGGTGTTTGCTGTAGCAATAAAAATTAAAAAAATCATCACAATAGTTATGGTTTCTTATCACCAACAAACAGATAATAAGAATAAGATGAATATGAGGAATTAAGTGGAGAGATAAAAGAGATTTTAGAAATGTATTTAAATTGTGATAAGAATTCTCCACAAAATAAAAATTTAGGTGAATCAAATCAATTGAAACACAGTCTTGAATAACCTAATACTCCCTATTTTAAGAATTCTTAAGATAGTGATGATAAATTTTTGTATTTGAAATAATCGAAATAAGTTGAGGAAATTATAGTAAATGAAATTAAGATTTAGGAAGCGTTCTTCTCATAAGAATAGTGAAAAGTTGGCTCCTGTAGAAGAAGAAAATGAACAATAAAAATAGTATAGCTAATCAAAATATCCAATATTTCAATTCAAATGTATAATATGTAATAAGGATCATGAATGGATCCACTCTTGTACTTAAAGGTTAGTGTATAATGATGATAATATGATAGTATGTGAAAAATGCAAATTCAAATAAAAAATTACTGAATATGATTTTATTTGTCAAAAGACATAATAAAAATTTAGATTCACAACAGAGTAAATAAAAGATTTCGAATTTTGAATTTATTTTTTAATATATACATTTTACATATCAAATAATAAAGTTATGAAAAAACAAAAATTTGAAGATAGAGTATATAAAGTAGTTACTTTAGGAGAAGGTAGAGTAGGTAAGACATCAATAATAACACGATTCTTTCATAATTCCTTCTCTGAATAGACACAAGAAACATCTGATGGGTATTGCAAAGAGAAAACTATTTAGACAAAAAAAGGATCAATTGATTTAGCTGTATGGGTAATTAATAAATAATTTATATAAAGGATACTGCTGGTTAAGAGAAATATCATAGTTTGGCTCCTCTTTATTATAGAAATTCAGATGCTGCAATTATAGTCTATGATATCACAGTCAAAGAAACATTATAGAAAGGAAGGTAATGGATTCAAGAACTTAAGTAATTGGCAGAAAATGATAATATGCTATTGGTTATTGTAGGAAATAAATGTGATATGCATATTCATAAAGATGTAGAATAATCATGTATTATATATCAAATAACAATTATTAGAAATTGATGAATTGTGTAATCAATATAATGCAAAACATTTTTTAGTTTCAGCTAAATCTGGAAAGGGAATACCTGAAGTTTTTGATTATATAGCAAATGGTAAATTAAATAAGAAATCATAGAATTGAAATAAGTTGTTAAATAAACCAATGCAAGAAATACATTAAAATAAGGAAAGTAGAAAGAGTAATAAAATAATGGGGGAGGATGTTGTTGATTAATTTTTATGTTAGTTTTTTTTTAATCACAATCTTTTTCTTAAATTATTTTATGTCATAACAAAATTGATTTCAGCAGGATATTATTTAGATTATGTAGCTCTTTCCCATTGTAGATATTCACTTTCATATTATAAAGATTTATCTGTTTCAGATTTCTTTTTTAATGTTTTATTCTTCAATTATTCTTCAATTATCTTTTGCATTTCCTCTAAAAATTCATTTTTATATTAATACATATTTTTTATTGTTTTTCTCTTTTCATATCTTCTTTGGATTATAATTTAGTTTCTGGTAATTCATCATATTTAGATTTAGCAATTTCATTCTTTTTTGCATTCTCAGCCTATTCATATTATGGGTCAGCTTTAAATGAAATAAATTTATAAGGATTTTCCACTTTACTTTCTGTAACCTCTTTAAATTCAGGTTCCTTTATTTATGGTTCATCATCAACTTTAGTAACTAATATAATATTATAATAAAGTACATCTTAATAATTCATTTTTAACATCTGTATTTATTTTTTATTTCTTTGTTGTTTTTTCCCAATGTTCATCTCTATCCATAGATTTAAAAGCAGTAATTAATCTTTTATCTTCTTCAATTTCTTTTTCAGTAGTTCCTGTGGATATCACTTCTGGTTAATCTGTATATAATAAATATTTTTTAAGAATTGATGTTTCTTATGGTTAATCTTGATTATTTACTATTTATTATTTATCTTTATTTTATTCTGATTCTTCTTTATTAATAAATTTGTATGATTTTTATTCTTCCTTAAATTAAAATTAATTATTATTATTATTAATTTCTTTTGGTTATTCTCTTTCTACTACTTTTAATATAGAATCTTCATTTTCATTATAAAAAGAACGTTAATCTCCATCAAATTTATTAAATGAATATTCTTTGAAATTATAAGATTTTTAATCCTATTATTTAATTTAATTATTATCATTTTCAACATCTTTATGAACATCATTCAAAAAATTGAACATTCTATTATTATCTTAAACTTCATTAATTGTATCTTCATTTGGAGTGAACTTAGAAATATTCTCAGTTTAGGGTTCTTCTTTAGTTGAATTAATTTAAACTTCTATAGTATTTTCAGAAGTATCACTCTCTAGTTATATTGAATTATTATCATTCTCTTGTTATATTTAATTATTNTAAGAAATCATAGAATTGAAATAAGTTGTTAAATAAACCAATGCAAGAAATACATTAAAATAAGGAAAGTAGAAAGAGTAATAAAATAATGGGGGAGGATGTTGTTGATTAATTTTTATGTTAGTTTTTTTTTAATCACAATCTTTTTCTTAAATTATTTTATGTCATAACAAAATTGATTTCAGCAGGATATTATTTAGATTATGTAGCTCTTTCCCATTGTAGATATTCACTTTCATATTATAAAGATTTATCTGTTTCAGATTTCTTTTTTAATGTTTTATTCTTCAATTATTCTTCAATTATCTTTTGCATTTCCTCTAAAAATTCATTTTTATATTAATACATATTTTTTATTGTTTTTCTCTTTTCATATCTTCTTTGGATTATAATTTAGTTTCTGGTAATTCATCATATTTAGATTTAGCAATTTCATTCTTTTTTGCATTCTCAGCCTATTCATATTATGGGTCAGCTTTAAATGAAATAAATTTATAAGGATTTTCCACTTTACTTTCTGTAACCTCTTTAAATTCAGGTTCCTTTATTTATGGTTCATCATCAACTTTAGTAACTAATATAATATTATAATAAAGTACATCTTAATAATTCATTTTTAACATCTGTATTTATTTTTTATTTCTTTGTTGTTTTTTCCCAATGTTCATCTCTATCCATAGATTTAAAAGCAGTAATTAATCTTTTATCTTCTTCAATTTCTTTTTCAGTAGTTCCTGTGGATATCACTTCTGGTTAATCTGTATATAATAAATATTTTTTAAGAATTGATGTTTCTTATGGTTAATCTTGATTATTTACTATTTATTATTTATCTTTATTTTATTCTGATTCTTCTTTATTAATAAATTTGTATGATTTTTATTCTTCCTTAAATTAAAATTAATTATTATTATTATTAATTTCTTTTGGTTATTCTCTTTCTACTACTTTTAATATAGAATCTTCATTTTCATTATAAAAAGAACGTTAATCTCCATCAAATTTATTAAATGAATATTCTTTGAAATTATAAGATTTTTAATCCTATTATTTAATTTAATTATTATCATTTTCAACATCTTTATGAACATCATTCAAAAAATTGAACATTCTATTATTATCTTAAACTTCATTAATTGTATCTTCATTTGGAGTGAACTTAGAAATATTCTCAGTTTAGGGTTCTTCTTTAGTTGAATTAATTTAAACTTCTATAGTATTTTCAGAAGTATCACTCTCTAGTTATATTGAATTATTATCATTCTCTTGTTATATTTAATTATTATCATTCTCTTTTTATATTTAATTATTATCACTCTCTTATTATATTGTATAGTCTATTTCAGTTTAATCATTATCTTCTGATATAGTTAAATCATTTAAATCAATATCAATAATTGGTCTCTTCTTTTTATGTTTCTTCTTTGAATTTGTATTTAAATCATATTATTCATTATCTTAATTTAATGATTTCTACATTTCCAAAGCTGAGTTTAATAATTATTACATCTAAATATTTTCATCTTAATATTCTAATTCTATTCCATCTATAATCAACGGAGATTCTATTTCAACTTATTCAGCCATTTACTTTAATTGATTAGCATCTCCTACTTTCAAAACTAAATTTCCAACAACTGTTGTGATTTATTCTGTAATTGATTATGGTTGCTATAACAATATAGTTTCGTCTTAATATTCATCTCCTAATCTCTCTAACCAGTATTCTAAAGAGTGTACTTCTTCACTCTATTCATTTTCATTCTCATTCTAATCAGATTCAAGTGGAGGATTCATCAGTTACTATACTTGATTCTCTATCTAAGTTGTAATCGGAGTTTCTGAATATAAGTCTATCTAGTCTACTAGATCCTATTTAATTATTCTCTATACCAAGACAGCATCTTATTGAACTTTGATTGCTTCTTCCATACCATCCCAATCATCATTCAAAGAGAAGTTAAATGCATTCAAAACAAATAATGTCAAAATGAAATATTTCATAATTATAAAAACGAATAAATTCATTAGTAAATAACTTAATCTTTAAGTGATCCTAACAATTACCTAAATAAATATACATCTATTACCACATATTCTCATTATTTTAGTAACCCTTAACTGGAAATGGACTAACTTTCTCTCTTGAAATATTAAAGATCTAATCAAGAGTCAAAATATAGGCATCATCTAACATTCTAGGAATCAGTTGACTCAACAATGGACTTGATTCTTCAATACATGGATTTGTATTAACTTCTATTAAATATAGATTGAATTTTTCATCCAAGATATAATCAAAGCCAAAGATTTCCATACAATTTCTACGATTATTCCTATTTATTTTGTTTCCCACTGAACTCATTACCAAAAAGGCAATCTCTTTCATTTATTTAACAATTTTTGATCTGAAATCAATTTTATTCTTAAAAATCTACTAAATCTAATCAAAAGATAATTGATTTCCTGCTTCTTGATCTCCATATTTTTAACTATATTTCTAAATAGCATTATTTGTAAGATGAATAAACAAATTATTTATATCATTAGTTACAAACTCTTCAGATGCAGTTCTAATGTATCCCTCTCTATTTATTTTATATTTATAGAATACTTAAAGAAATAACAATTTAGATCTTAATCAACCAAAACCCAAACTCTTATATCAAATTTTCGATTATTTATAAGCAAAGGCTTTTCAATATACTTCTATACTACAAATGTTGGAGATTTAATCATAAGACCTTGATAGATCTTTTCATTAGGAGTTTCTATATGTTTTTCACTTATTCCTGAAGTGTATTCAATAAGTAAATCAATGAATTGATCAAGATTATTAAATACATTAATACCTCTACCTCGATTTAATCCAGTTGGTTTTAATAGCCACAAATAATCATTTCCTAGAAAAGTATCTTTCATTTTATAATCAAAAAATCTCCTTTCTTTGCTAGGTGGAATTCTGAGTTTCTTTTTGATTTCCTATTTTTTGAGTAAGAGTTCATCTTATGATCTAGGATTAGGAGAGTATTAGTTATAATAATTTATAAAAGCAGTAAGTTGAGACTCAATTTAAGAATCATTAAAATCGATAATAAAAGTAACAGGAAGAATATCAAATACATTTTTATGGATGGAATCACAAAAGGTTGTCATATTCAAGAGGAGATTCTTTTTATTACTTATTTCTTAGTGAAATTCAAAATGATTGACTAATGATCTATGAGGATTGTAGGCATTCATTTTGTAATATTTATAGCCTAAATTAGATTACTGCCATCTAAAATGTACTCTTGTTGTACTTTTACATTGATGCCATTCTCGTCTTGTATCCATGATGCGTTTTATCAGTTCATGATTATTACCTCCACCCAAGAGGTATGAATATTAGGGTTCATGGATGATAGAGGGAGTTTTATTTAAAGGATATGATTAAGTTTTTGGAAGGATGTTTATTGATTATTAAGAGTGTTTGATAATCTGAGGAAGAGCAATTTATCTTTGACGCTAATAATTGGATTTTTTAGGGATTTCTAGTTGATTATTCTAGATAAAGTGATCAGCAAGAGTTTTAGCTAATAGTTATAAAGAACGATGACGTGTGACCTTATTCAAGGACTATGTCAAGAAATAGTTGAAGTTGTCAGAATCAAGACTTAGTTTAAGTTTATCTATCTATTTGTTTCTTTAGAGCTCTATCATTTTAATTAATTTATTATGTAATGCTCTTCCCCTGAAGAAGCCTCTATGTGTAAAAGTCTTTGTTGCAACAAATTCCATCAATGCTCTTAATATCAAAGTGAGTGCTCTATATTTTCAGATGTATATATCATCAATTAAGTAGAATCATTGCATCAAATTAAATTGTGATACGTGTTGTATGTTACAAGATAACTAGCATTTCTGTGGAACTTATGTACAATGTAGTAAATATTTCGACTTATTCTACTTCTGGTGTTTAATTATCCTTGGGTTGTTGTTGGTGGTGTTACTGATTATTAAATTGCGTACTAAGTAGAGATCACATTAATAAGGTTTATGACAGCTCGCATGATACGAATTCATTAAGCATTTGCAAAGTTTAACAAAAAAACGACTACAATCTGATCAGAACCATAATTCTTAATAAATTGTATTATAACATCTATTTTCAATTATTCACCATTAATTATTATATAATGAAATAAGCAGAAGAATAATATTAAACTCTCTATAAACTTTAACCAGAACCAGTAACTACTCCTGAAATCAAAGGATATGATTTTAATTAAGGAGTAGATTTTGATGCTCTTTTGAATTCTTATGCAAATTTTGGTTTATAAGCAACTCAATTAAGTACAGCAATTGATATAGTAAATAAAATGATAAATTGGAGATTGGGTCCAAATGAAGATAATGAAGACCCAAATACTAGATGTACAATATTTTTAGGTTACACTAGTAATATGGTATCATCAGGCAATAGAGATATCATCAAATATTTGGCTTAGCATAAAATGATTGATGCCATTGTCACTACAGCTGGGGCAATAGAAGAAGACCTTATGAAATGTATTTCCACTTTTCACAAAGGTGATTGGTAAGCTAATGATAAAGAAATAAGATTAAAAGCTATATGTAGAATTGGTAATATATATGTTCCTGCAGCAAATTATGGAAAACTAGAAGATTGGCTTCTTCCAATATTTTAAGAAATGTATAAAGAATAAAAGGAAAAAGGAACTATTTGGTCACCATCATCAATGATTAAAAGATTTGGGGAGAGGATCAATGATGAAAGATCAATTTATTATTGGTGTACTAAAAATAATATACCTGTTTATTGTCCTGCTTTAACAGATGGAGCCATAGGAGATATGATGTTCCATTTTAATTATAAGGAATAAGGATTTATTTGTGATATCTTATAAGATGTAGTTGCATTAAATAAGAAAGCTATGTATGCTAAGAAATCAGGATTGATTATACTAGGAGGAGGAGTAGTTAAACATCATATAATGAATGCAAATATCTGGAGAAATGGTGCTGATATGGCAGTATTCATTAATACTGGTATCCAATATGATGGAAGTGATGCTGGTGCTAAACCATCAGAAGGAATTACTTGGGGTAAATTAAGAATGGATGCTGAATATGTAAAAGTATTTTCAGAGGCGACACTTGTATTTCCTTTACTTGTTGCATAAACTTTTGCTAAATATTTCTAAGAAGCCAAAAGAGTTTGATATTAATATATATATTTGTAAATAATTAATATTTAATAAGTATAATGAATTTCCCTTTGCCTGAAAATAGAATTGCTAATTATGCAAAAGTTTCTACTTTCCTACCACATCTTGTATGTTAATGTTGCAAATCATTATCTTTACAATAATTGATATGTCTTAAATGTCATGAGAACTTTTGCTTTAAATGCATACCATATGCTGATGATCAGATTCCTGAACCTATAGAAATAACTGTTCAAACTATTCTAATAAATAAGAATACAAAATATATTTAGGATATTAATTACAGAGGCTTCTGTCCTAATTGTGAAGTTGTTACAGTATTAACATCTTAACTACCAAAAATGTTTCATAAATTATATACAAGTGTAAAATTCTCTTGTCAAAACAGAATCAATGGTTGTCCTGAAGAACTCTGTTATCCAGATTTGAGAATTCATGAATAGAAATGTGGATTTAATACAATTACTTGTCCTAAATAAGAATGTGGTTAACAGACATACAAAAAAGATTTCATAACACATGTTTCTATATGCAACCCAACTATAGAGTGTATTTGTGGTTCCACTAATCAACATGATCAATAAAAATGTCTAAGATTACAATGTGAAACACTCAAAAGTTAACTCAATACTTAAACTAAAGAATTATAACTACTTAAAGATGTATAAACTACACTCTCTTATTCCAGTCCCTAAAAATAACTTAATAGAGTAGTAGTTAATCAATCACCTTACATAGCTACATCCCCTTTCTCATTGTAAGGTTTACTACAATAATCAGCTTAAATATTAAATGATGGATGATAATGCTACATATATATTTATATTTGAATAATCATTAAACTATATTTACTTTTAAATTAATAAATAGAACTTAAAAGTATAAAGCATTTTTATTTAATGAAATATATAAAATTGTTTACATTTAGTGATAAGAAAGTAACAATTAATATTTAGATTTAAATAAATTTTGTACTTATATTTTTATTATCAAAAAATCCATAAATGAGATCTTTTTCAGATTTACTTAAATTATTATATTTATTCATTAAATGTTTCAACCATTCATTCAGGAAATTAATATGTTCAAATAAAGTCATAATAAATTAATAAAATGATGCAAGGACCTAAATACAAACTGCAAAATATACAAGAGCTTTGTAGATCCAACTTTGATGATGATGAAGATCCAGAAGTATATCAAGATGTAAGAGTTGATAAATTTGGAAACCCAATCAATAAATAATTAAAGTTTCACATCTGTTTTAGAGATGAAATCATACCTTCTCAATAAGTGTTTGATATTCATATTGTGGAAAATTGGAAACTCTATAATCTTATTGAAGAGAAAGAAGAGTCCGATGCTTGTTGTAAACAATTTTGTTAGATTATATGAAATTTATCATTATAAAACTTTTTCTGCCATTTACTAAGGTAACAATTTATATAATATATCTATGCTATTCTAATATTTTTGATCAATTGATTCCTTTTGTTTATTTAATAACAATTTCATCTCATTTCTATATCTATCATATTCTACTGGACTAGAAAATAAATGACTAACACGATTCACTTATTCCCAAACTGATTTCTTCATTTGTTTTTCTAACAACTAAGATTTCAAATCAATTTAATAAGAATACTATTTCTAATTTCTTTATATTTATTTAATTCTTTTATTCTCATCTTTAATTTTCAATTATTTAATGTGATATTTGTTGAAATTTACATCATCCTAATTGATTTTTAATCTCTCACCTATTATCTTTTATCTTTCTGAAAGTATTAGACATTTTAAATTAACAACTCTTTCAATCTTATCTACTATCTTACATTAAAAATCTGAATCATAAAATAATGAATAAGTCTTATTTCTTTTCAATATCTGCTATTTCATAGGCTTACTTAATTGACTCAATTTCAATCTCAACTATTGCAATTTTTCAAATTATTTATTAATCAGAAATTGATATTATTCATTATCAATTTATTCTTTTTTGTTTTTTACTTCTACAAAATTGGATTTCTAAAAATGTTGTTTCAACTCACTCTTAAATTATTAAATTTTCTATATTGCTTTCTTTTCTAATAATAAATACATAGTAACCCTTTTCTTTAAGTTTTTACATTTATTCCTTCTATTACTTTTCTTCTAATTGCTAGATTAATTATCTTTTTATAAGAAACTTTTCATTTGATGAAATAAATAATTTCTCATTATTTTCATACTCACGATGAGTCTCACATCTTCTATTTGACTATTCTGTTTTCATTTATTATATAGATTGTTTAGATTGGATTGATATTTTTTATGAAGGTTAAATTGCTAATTTAGTTTTGTTTACTAAAACTTTATTCTTTTATTGATAATATTAAGCAAACTTATTTTATCTTAGAAGTACTTAATAAATAAGATTCTATAGCACTCTTTCTTTAATAGATATGCTTTAGGATTACTCTTACATATTATCAACAATAGAGGAATATTAAATATTAGTCTGATTAGGCAGTTCAGATAAGCCAGTTGTTTTGTTTCTACTTCTAACTTTGTTGATTTTATTTACTATTACTAGTTTATTTTAAATTTAAGATTTACTGAGTACTCTAGCTTTGTAATGATCATATTTTATTTATCTCAACTCATGATTGACAGATTAAAATTCATCTATGGATCTAAAGAATATAGAATAAAAAATATTTATATGTTAAATCCTCAGGACGATATCCTAATCTCTTACATAGTCTGATTGTGTATAAAGATTCTGGCTAGGTAGATTCAATCAATTTCTTAAAATTATCATCCATTTATATATATCAACAATTATTATACATAAGTTTTCATAAGCCTTCAAATTCATTCTATTCTTGTATTTGTCAAATGAAATCATCCACTTATTGAATCAATTTTTACTTATAAAAACCCTATTTTGTTGATAAACTGTCAATAATAACATTTGCATTTTTATTAAATATACTCTCCTATTTTAATAATCATAAAATGAACTGTTAGAATTTACAAAACAGATATAATAAAAGTGAACTTATTCTCTTCATTATTGTTTTCTTTAAATAATAGCTAATTAATTCAAACACTTTAATCATATTGTATTTTTATTATATCTTTACATTGATTTCTGTAGAATATTTATCTATTGAATGTTTTATATAATATTATTTGTGATTTTCTCTTTTAGCACATGTAAATTGAAAATATTTAGATTCATCATATAATCAAATTTTCATGTTTAGATTATGTCATTTATTTTCAATTATTTAAATTCAATCATAAAAATAACTTAATTTAATTGATTTGTTTATGAGATATATATATATATTTCTGTTTCAATCGTATCTGTTTTAATTGGTCTATTATGATTAATTAAAAAAAATAATTCTTTTTTTTAAAATATCTTCATAGAATTTAGGATTCTATATTAGAAATTATAAGATTTATAGATATATAATTAATTATGTAATTGATGATAAAATAACAATTATAATATTGAATGAATTCATTAATCAGAAAGCTGTGAATGAAAGTTACACAGATCTAAAATATATTATATATAATGATACCTTCCATTAATCTTGGCATCTTAGATATAACCTAAGACACTAAGACTGCATCCTACGTCTGAATACAGTATTTTGCAAGAGCTCTGATTAATGAATCTAGAGAATATAATTATTATAAGATACTTCATATTTAAGATCGGAGTGATACATCCGAAATATTAATATATTTGTTCTATAGTAATTCCATTTAATCCAGTTATTAAGATTGAGTTTGACAGTTATTACTATAGAAGTGGTTTTCTTTCATTAGGAGGTAAAGTAACTTAGCGAGCGTCAAGAGAAAGTTGATCTGTAACAATAAGATTCATTGGCACTCCAAAAAGCAAGGCTTTGCCAAGTAGATTTTTCATTCGAATTGCTTCTTCCTTTGAAGCCAGTTGAAGAAATGCTCCATGATGACTTTGATAAATTGCGTCTACTCTTGTGAATGTACTAAAGATGTTATACACCACACGTAGATTTATGTTGGAATGTTAAACTATTAAATAAGTTGGGAGAGTAGTTGGAGTCATTATGAAAGGACTTGTTATGACTTTTTATGGATAAGGAGTAAATGGACTGGCACCACAAGAAAAAGGAGTTGTGGAGTCATTACAAAAGACTTCATTATAATTATCTTCAGAATGAGTAGATTTTTAAGATTTATCTGAAGATTAGGAGGAGATACTCTCTCCATCAGAAAACTCCTCTTTATCATCTTCTGAAGACTCTTCTGGAATCTATTACCTTATGGAATCCAAGGTGGAGTGCAAAAAGGGTGAGGGTGATGGAGTAGTAACGGTGGATACGATTTATTTTTATTTCTTTCCCTCCCTTTGTAAAACCGATGCATAATTTCGTAATTGTTGTTGGTAGAGAACGGTCAATTGTTAAGTTTGATTACGGTACTCTTAGATCTATTGGATAAGGGATATTTATTCTTTTAAATCTGTTGTTTAGCTTAGTTGAGCAATAAGCTAATTAAGCATGTCAAGATTCTACTGTAGTTATTGATTGAGAGAGCCTGAGTCCTCTTTCAATTGTTAGAAAAATTACTGTTTTGATTGTAAAGTAGTGTAATCTAAAAGATAGAAGTAAAATATTACCAACACCACAATTGTTATTATTCTAAAACACTAAAGAATCACGTTGACTAAGGTGTACTCTCATTTTTAGTTAGTAATCAAAGAGGGTCCCATCTAAAACTAAGGCTGATTGGGCTTGTTAAGCATTCTCATACTCTATAAACACTTTCCAAATGATTTTTCTTTCAAATATAAGAATCTAAAAAAAATCAAAATAAACAAGTACCTTTTTAACTTGTCCGAAAGATGAGAATGTTCTAAAGAACTAGCTGTGCTCTAATACTTTCCCCTATTTATTGGTGACAAGCACAAGTATCACAGGTGTTAATGAACTTGGTGACGGTGAATTCTTGTTCATTAAAAAATAATAATATTTCATAAATCTCAATATCCATTTCATTTAAATACTCTCTTCATCCCTTTCTATATATTAATTAATAAAAAACATCAAAACTCAATTAAACAATTCTAATTTACTATGGAATATTTTTCGTATCTTCTCATAGTAATTATATATAAAAATTACATATTCTCTAAAACCATTTTTAAATTTTATACTCAATATCATAATACCGATTTTTAAAGTATTTAAAAAAATAGCATATTTTATATTTCAAATAATTAAATTTCTCATCTCTTTAAATGTATTCTATTTTTATTTAATCAAATCTCCATAGTTATCAGGCCTTATATAGCTATTATTAATTTTAATATATAAATACTCCGAATCATTTTGATACAATTAAATATAAAAGAATGATTATCTTTAATTAATAGTAATTAATGTTATTGACAATTGTATTTAAATTGTCTATAAAAAATAATACAATAGCTTCTAATGAATTTATTAAACAAATGAATAATTACTCATATAATTTATTAAATATTTTTTAATAAAATTTTATTTATTTAAAATAGCAATTTCAATAAAAAATCATAATATTTACATTGAATATTTAAAAATATGCTATATTATTAAATCCTATTTTAATATCATGTATTAGTATGTAATAATAATTAAGAGAAATCATATACATTTTCAATTAATATGATAATTTTTATAATTACAATTAATACTTGAATAAAAAATAAAATATAAAGAAATCATCAAAGTCAAAAGTTTAAAGTAAGTGATTTTATCCTTATTATTATATTAATCCTAGATAACAAAATATAAAAAGAGTTTATTTAATTACAAAATTTTATAATTATGAAATTATCTATAGAAACTGAAAATTGCAGAAGAACAAAAACAAATCCAGATTAAAATTCAATAATTAGCTATTCTACAAATAAGTCTTGTAACTCAAGTGTAATAAATTTATTATTAATAAATAGGAACGCAAAACTTAAGTCAAAGTTGCTTGTAAGGTATTATGTGAAATGAGAGAAGATGAATCAAGTAAATTAGCTATGAAATTCACTTAACTAAGAATTGTTTTAGCCACTTAATCTCTATTGCATTTATTATAAAAGTATAAATCAGCAAAATTGTAATCATACTTTTGGATCATCTAATAAGAAAGAAAAACTACAAAACATAATGGTTTCATAGTTCCAAATCAAACAATATCATTACAACCAGTTATAAAAGATTTATCTAATCATTAAATTAGAGTATAAATATATTTAATGTAATATCAGTAAATTCCTACTGTGACAGCAATTGTACTTAATCATGTTTTGAATAAAATTATAATTTAACAGTAAAAGTCAATCTTTAAAAGAATCAAAGCACAATCAAACATTTACAAAGCAATTACTTAAATTAAAAACTTTATTTAATAATGTCAAAAAAGGTCTTAATATATTGGTCTTATAAATATTATGAAATGCAATTAAAATAGAAAAATATAAAAAACAAGTGTTCTTGATTAAAATCATGAGATTCAATCTGAAGATGAACTATCAGAATAAATTATTGATCATCCTGAAGAAATGACAATAAAAGAATAATTAGCTATTAAATTTGCTAGTACTACAATTATATCTTCCATTTTAAATGAAAAAATAAAAAAACAATAATTTGCTTTATTTTTTAATATTCTTAGAGGTTAATTCTAAAATAAATAATTAAATCTATCATAAACAAATGAAATTACTCAGATTTATGAATAGTCATATTTGGATTAAGATCCTATATTGATTGGAACAAGTCATCTATGCTCTGTAGTATATGCAAGATTAAAAGATTATTAATAGGAAATCAAAAAAGTAAATTAAAACAAAGAACTCTTAATTGAAGATTCTTTACATACATTGATTTTATGTAAACATTCTGAATAATCTAATAATAATTCATATGAGGATCTTTATACATAAAGAATACTCCCTTCACAATTTAAACATGAAGAAGAAGAGAATGACAATGAAATTCAAATACTTGAAAATAATAATTACTTTAAAATGCCATGTTCTTTACAACATATAACAGATATTGATATTTTGGATTCCACAAAGGAAATTGAATAAAAAATATAAGATACTTAATAAATTTAATCAAAGATTAAGAATAAACATTAAGATCTAATTAAGAATGCTGTGAAATCTTATTGTAATTAACAATAAAGAAAAAATAGTTTATAAGGGACTCCAAGAACTTAATAAAGAGAAGAGAATAGAGAAAATGTGATAAAGAAGAGTAAAAAATAAGATAAGCAATTATACATTATTCCTATAATTGGAATATGTATGATTGCTTTGATATTTTTAATTTTGTAATGATTAATAAAATTAATATAATTATTTAATAAAAATAAATATGTCAGGAGAATCCTCATATTCAGAAGGTGCAGGTTGGATTTAATGGTTTTGTTCAATGGAAGATCATCAATTTTTATGTGAAGTTGATAGTGAATTTATTAGAGACAACTTTAATTTGTATGGTTTGAAGAGCAAGTTCAATTTTTATAAGTAATTTTTAAAAAGAATAATTAGTGAAGCTTTGGATTTGATTTTAAGTTCTGAGACTCCTGATGATGAGGATTTAGAAGATGAACGTTTTCTGGAGGTTTATTAAGAAGCAACAGATTTATATGGGTTAATACATGCTAGATTTATAATTACAGCAAAAGGTATTAAAATAACATATTAAGCAGGATTGGCTTTAATGAAAGATAAATTTTTAGCAGGAAAATTTGGTGCTTGTCCAAGAGTATTATGTGAAAGATCAAATGTACTTCCTGTTGGGATGAGTGAAGAATTAAGAACATCTAGAGTGAAAGTATTCTGTCCAAGATGTGAGGAAGTTTACATTCCAAAAAAGAAATGTCCAGATGTAGATGGTGCTTATTTTGGATGTTCATTTCCATCAATCTTCATTATGGTATGAAGATTGATAATTTAATAAGAACTTTATATAAGAGATTTAGATTGCTCCAAATAATTAATAGTATGTACCAAGAATTTTTGGATTTAGAGTTTATAAGAAGAAAGGATCTCGTTATTAAGATATGCAATAAAAACCTGCTGAAATTACACATTATTCTGAAGAATAATTAAAGAAATTGAGAGGTAAAAATGAATAACAAAGCAAAGAGGATTATGTTCAAAAGTGAATTAGGTAATTTGTTTTTATTATTAAAATTTTTAAATCTTTTTTAAATTAATATGCCTAAGGAAATTCAGGATGTTAAAGTGTTCCTTTCACTCATGAAAGGTAGTGAAGCATAAGGCAAAGACACTAGTAAAGAACCAAAAAAGAGTAAAATTTAATCTTATTTTAATAGATCTCTATATTAAAGAGTCCAAGAAGATCACCAAATTCAAGTTGAGAGGAAAGAAATATCTCTTTACCTTCAAAACAGCTGATAAGAATAAGGCCTAAAAAATTCAATAAACACTTCCATAAAGTATTTAACCTAATTCACAATTACTTAGATGTCAATAAAATTGTTATTGGTGCAGGTGGAAAGAAACAATAAACCAAAAAGAAGTAAAAGAAATGAACGCTGATTTATTACATATTCAATAGTACATTATCTAAGAGCATTTATTTAATTTTTTATTTTTAATGTCAAGTTTTCATAATAGTCATAATAGTGAAGTTAATTCCCCTAGAATCAAACCTAAATTAACAGAAGATTAGAAATTTCATCTTATTAATCAATTCTTTGTTAAAAAACTTAAATTTCCTACACTTTCAAATGCAATTATAGATGAAGCTATAAGTCAAGATTTTATGCCATTTGATGATAAAGATAAAATATTAAGAGATCCAAATAAACTATCAATTTTCTTTTTGAAATTAGATCCTCAATCTCCTCGTACAAAAGAGGCCTTAAATTAATTAGAGTTAAGTGAGAATGCATGTCATATATTTACATTTTAGCAGTTTCAAATGCCTTAACTTCATCCAATTCAAAATCTAATAAATTATATGAACTACCTTACTGAAAAGTATAAAGAATTGTTGCGCATAGTTAGTACAAGAAATTCGATTAAAAAACAAGAGAAACAATAGAAATAAAAAAATAAACTAAACAAATCACACACTCAATAAAATACTTCAAGTATCAGTCTCCATTTCATCTATCAGGTTTCCTCACTGATGGCGGTGCTCTTGTTATACCAACAAAGTTGACCACTATTATGTCAAAATCATTTAATACACGTTCTCTAGATTTCTTATAGACATCATTTGAAGAGAGATTGGAAATGTAAGCCAAAAAGAGTTAAGAATATCTATAAACTCTAAGTAGATATAAATAAATGGAAGAAGAAAAATTAAAATCTTTACATGATTATTATCAACAAAAAGTTCCTATAATGGCTAAAAAAGTAGAAACTGTTAAATAAATGAATAAAATGTAATAAAATCTATATATTAATTTAGTAAATAATAAGAACGAAAGAAAGTCTTTCAAGATCGTTAGAAAAGAACTTTAGAGAAAATACATGAATTAGAAATAAAGGATAGAGAATAAAGGATTAAAGTATAAGAATATTTGAATAAGAAACAAGAAATTACTCAATAAAATAAGATTTAATTTGATTAATAACATTATTAAGAATTGAAAGAATAATAAGAGAGAAATTAAAGAAAAGAAGAGGAGAGAAAAGAAAAGAAGAAATTAGCAATTTATATGGAAGATCAATAAATTGAATAGATTATGGAGAAATAAATAGAAAAGGATTATGTTACAGAATAATTATTATCAAAATTAAAAGATGAAATGAATTAAAAAAGATAATTAAGTATTTAGAAATAAGAATAAGCATAATAAAAGGTAATATAGACATAGATTGAATATGAATAAAATAAACTTGAATAATATATTAAATTTGCTGATTTGAGTAATAAGATGGTAGAAGAATAAATGTAAATCAAGAATGAATAATTAGGATAAGTAAAAAATAAATTAGCTTCATAATTTAGAAAAGTAAAGAAAAATAAAGAAAAATTAAATCATTTATTAGAATAGAAAATAGAAATTATAAAAAAGAAGGAAAATGATAAAAGTATATATATTTAAAATATAATATTAGATATATCAGGTAGATTATAATCAATATAATCAAGTATTGATATAAAAATAAAAGAATAAACTGAAAAAAATAAAATGAGATTATAAAGAGCTTTAAATAATACAAGAGCATTTGCAGAAGAGAAAGAAGTATATAGTTTAATCATTAATAGAAAGAACAATAAAAGATAATAGATAAAATGATTGAAGAGAAATAAAAATAAAAATATCTCAAAAATCAAAAAGAATAATATAGCTAAGCCATTTTAAAATAACATTTACTTTAAAGATAAAGTGTAGATAAATTAGTATTTTAATGAATTATATGAATTTTTGTTTGCTCTAATTACATAATCTTTTTTTTATAAATACAAATATTTCATTTTTACTAAATGATTCTTTTTTTTATCTCATCAACTATCTAATCTGATGTTGCACATTTATCCATTAATATTTATATGATTTCATCTGCTGTATATCTCATCTGATAATTTACACATAATAATTTTTATATAATTATTCTAACATATTCTGGTAGTATAGTTAATTTTAATTCTTTCCAAAATATATTCCATTCCTCTTTCTTGATAAGCTTCCACCATGCATCCTCCATTTATGGATTATTTGATTCAAATGGAGGATGTCCAGTTATTATTATAAAATAAACTACTCCCAAAGAAAACATATCACATTTTTTCAAATCTATTGGAATCTACCAAATTTCAGGAGCTGTATATCCTTCACTCCCTGATACTGTTGTCTTTGGAATTGGAGTTTATCCATTAATTTTAGCAAATCCAAAATCACATACTTTTATTATATAATCTCCAGATATTAATAGATTATCCAATTTAATATCTCCATGAGTTATTCCTTTAGCATGAAGATATTCTAAAGCTTAAGCAATTTAGATTATTATTCCATTTGCTATAGCTAAAGGTAAAGGACCTTAAAGTAAGATTTTATATAGAGAACCATTAGTCATTAATTCAAGTAACATACATGAACAATCTGAACAATATCCAAACATAGTTATAATGTGCGGATGTTGAATGTGACGGAGTATTTGGATCTCGTTCTCTTGAAAATATGATATTATAATTACGAATAAATTTATTGCATTCTATTCATTCGTCTATGCCAAACATTTTAATGCAAATTATTGTTTAGTCTATTTGTTCATAGTCAAAAATACTGTACTATCATGTCCTTTGCCTATTAACTTGGAAAAATTGATTTAATAATTTGCGGCAAATTGTTCAGGAGTAAACATTAAATTATTAATCATTATTAATATTAACAATTAATTTGATCAAAAGGTTTTATTATTCATCATACTTTCATAAATATCATTTAAATTTTCATTAAATCAAATAGTCAATCCTATTCAAAATTAAGATGTTTCTTTGAATCTTTTGTTTTTTACGTTAGTTTAGATTAGTCTGATATTATCCTTTTTTTAATTTATCCTCTAAAATTAAAATAAATAGTAGCTTTAATCCTTCAATCAAACTATTGTTATATAAATTTTACTAGCATTTTCTTTTCTAAGTCATTGCATTTAAATTTCTTTTTGATTAAATAATAATGATAGATTAAATATAAATATTAAAATTTTATATATCCTTATATCTTTATATTAAATACCTAAATTCAATTTAATTATGCTTATAGGTTGACACTAAAATTAAGTAGATATTAATAAATTCTTAACTAAAAATTATAAATATTCTAAAACTATTTTGAATCCATTAATATCAAGTGATGTTTTGAATTTCATTTATTTTTTTATTAATTAAGAAGAAGTAAAATAAGATAAAGAAACTTTTATCAAAAACTTCTAATACCAATACCCTATTTAATTTGTAGAAGAATTTGAATAAACATATATTTTTAGGTCTATGAGAATTTGAAGTAAGCAAATTGATTTACTCTACATGATATCATATTATCAGATTAATCATCTGCATATAAGAATTGATGCATAAGAAAAACTATGACATAAATATTATATTGTATACAAATTGCACTACATACTATTAGTCTAAATCAGCAATAATTCAAGACTATTTGTTGTTACTTCTTGAAATCAGAACATATGATAGTCAAATTCATTGAAGATTCAAAAAATCAATACAAGTTAGTAAGATATAATATTTAGAATACTACATGAGGGTTTCTTAACAAAGGAATAATGATATTTTATATAAAATATCTATTTTTTTGACTTTCTCCTTTTTACCAATAATAATAATTATTTTGCCTTACCAGAAATTCAAAATTTCAAAAAAGTTTCTTTGAAAATAATTTAGACCTGTATAATAATTATTAATTTTTGAGAATTCGATGGATAGATTTTTATTAATATATATATATTTAATGAAAGATGTTTAAAAATAATAGGCAATACCAGATGCATATAGAGTTTTTGTATTAATTTCCATCACTAATTTACTTGTGAGTCTTGATCATGGAATAATTCCTGCAGGTTTTTAATTAAAATTTAAAATGTTAAGCAAGTGTTCAAATACAAAGCACATTAAAATTATCAAATTAAGAATTAGGTGTATTGGGATCTTTAGTATATGCAGGCACTGTTGTTATGGGATTTATGGCTTCCTTTATCTATTTGAAATACAATCCACTAAGAGTTATTGAAATCAGTATGATTACTATGATTTTGAGTCTTTTTGTGTTTACACTACAATTTGATACTGCATGGCCTTATTATTTAAGTCGATTCATAACTGGAGCAGCTTAAGCTCCATTAATAGTTTATTTCCCTGTTTGGGTAGACACTTTTGGTTAAGATAGCAAAACAGTATGGTTAACAATCCTATAAGGTGGAGTACCTTTTGGAGTATTTGTAGGATATGTATTGGCTAGTGTGATAGCAGCATAATGGAATGTAATATAATTGAGAAATTATAAAAAGTGGCGATGGGCATTTTATTTATAAATTGGTGTACTTGTACCTAGTATTGTATTGATTTCCAGATAACCTCAATAAAACATAGATGTGAGACCCTATGTGAAGGATAGTAATAAGACTTATGAAAAGATGCCTTATTTCTAATTAATAAAATTAACTTTATAATCTAGATCATATGTTGTAATGACTATAGTTTTGGGAATGTTATACTTTTCAGTAACAGGAATATAATTTTGGATATCTAATTATTTAGTTACAGTCTTGTGTTTTAATTAAGGTTTAGTGAATACACTTTTTAGTTTAGATTCAATTACAGGTCCTACTCTTGGATGTGTATTAGGTAGATAATTAATTTAATATTATTTGTAGGAGGATTAGTAACTTAACATTATGGAGGATATGATTCTAAGAATGCTTACTATATCACATGTATTGCAGCTGTATTTGGATCCTTAGCTTCTATTTGTGTAACATTCACCTCTAATTTATGGGCAATTACAGGATTTATTTGGTTATTACTCTTTTTTGGAGGTGCTTTAGTACCAATTATGACTGGTATAATGCATAAGTAACTTTTAGGGATAGTATTATCATCAGTAAATTAAGGAATGCGATCGTTTGCCAATTCCAATACAACTACTTATGTGAATTTATTTGGATATTTACCAGCTCCTATAGTTTATGGATATTTATCTTCGATTTCACCAAATTTAGGATATTATTGTTTGATGTATTGTCCAAGTGTTGGATGTTTAATGATTTTATGGACAACTTATCATGAAAGAAGAAGGGATTATTTTGTTGAGGATAAATCAATGGAATCTATGGAAATGCATCCACCTTCAGCTAGAAGTTCTATGATGTAGATTATTCATAATTTTCATAATCAATCTGATGGTAATGATAATAGGGTTATATAAAGATCTTGTAAAGGAGGTATTGGAATTTCATTCAACACCAATTAATAATATCACTACAACTCTTTACTACGAAAAGTAATTATGATTTGTAACAAAAGGATTTTTTGTTTATTGTTTATTTTAAAATAATATAATAATTTTTACTTTTTAAATTACATGTCTGAGAATACACTTTTTAATGAATGTTTAGCTTGTAAGATGAAATTTGAGACAAGATAATAATTGGAGAACCATGTCAAGAAGGTAAATATTAATTATCTTATAGATTAGTTTTGTGTGGGTTCAGATTATGGGTCTTAAAATAAATTAGAAGAGAAATATTAAAGAGAATTATTAAATTTAAAAAAGAGTAATGCTCCTGGTGCAAGAGAAATAATTGAGACTGGTAGACCTCAATAAGGTTAATAATAAAAGAATCAATTATCTTTAGAATCTATGAAAGATTAAATTAAATAATAAGATGATGAATTCAAAAGATTAAATAGAATGGCTTAAAAAAGAAGAGAAGATGAAATGGAAGATGAATTAAATAAATTAAAAAATGATAGACAATAAATTAAAATGAAAAGAGATGATGATAGATAAGCATTTGAAGAATTGTTACATGAAGTTGAATAAAAAAAAGAGAAAGAAATAAGAGCTAGAATAGAAAAGGATGAAATTAGAAGAGCTTTAATGGATTTAGAGAAAGCTAAATTAACAGCTATTGAATAAGAGAGGAAAAGAGAATTAGAGAAACTTATTGCTGAGAGGGAAGCTCTTAGAATGAAAGAAAATGAACTTATTAAAGATATTGAATAAATGGAATAGAATACAAGAATGCTTGATTAAATGAGATAAGAAGAAGTATCAAAAATAAATAATGTTATTGAAGGTATGTAATTAAAATAAAAAAATAATACAAAATTGAATGAAGATTTAATATAAGAAAGATCTGATAATGTTGCAAAATTAAAATTAAAAAGAGAATAATTAGAAGGAGAACGATTAAGAATTATGGACAATTTGGATAAATTACGAAATGGTGATTTAAAAGCTGCATAAAGAGGAGGTACTATGAATTTAGTGGCTAATGCAAAGAATATTTTAGGTGATATGAAATAAATGGAGAATTTTAATGCTAAATTACATGATGGAAGATTTGTAGAATAATAACAAAGAATAAATCAATTGAAATAATAGAAACCTGAATTTATGCCATTTGATGGAGATGAAGCTTATGGATAAAGAGCAACTGTTGGATAATAAGCTGTTGATATGTATAGATCTAGAAATCCTCAAACTTAGGGAGAACTTTAAGCATTTAGATAAGGAATTGAATAGCATGCAAATAGTATGATGGATTAAAGTTTGTCATAGAGTGTCAATATGAGTTAAGTTAAGAGATAACCTTCTTCATAAGTCAATAGAGCACCTGCTACTAGATTATAACCCTAATAAACTATATAGAGTTTTCCTGATGTTAATTAATAACTTTAATAATAATAATAATAATAAATTGAAGTCTTAAAAAATGCTTGGGGTGTTCCTATTCCCTAATTTCAAAATAATTAATTTTAAATGTTACCATAATAATAATAACCATAAGCACCATAATTTCTAAATAATCCAATGATGCAATATAATTAATTTGCTTAACCATAAATGATGCCTGCTTACAATCCAATAATGCAATAATAATCATAATAGTAAGGACCAACAGCATTTGGATAATTTGCTTTGAATTAATTAGCATTGAATTAGGAAGGTAAAAAAATGAAGGATCCATGGAGCATTTTCAATAGAAAAAATGAATTTTTTTTGATGAATGAAGTAAGAGGTGTTGATTTAACTGAAGAGGAGAGAGTATTAATGAGTTTATAGGCTTAAGAAATTGATAGTCTTAGAGTAATTTCAAGGATTCCTGTGGGGACAGAATTGTATAGATTTAAGGTTGAGTAATATAAGGAATTATCTACAATGAGGGCTGAAATAGAGAAGATTGTTTAGGAGTAACGTTTATAGGATGCAAGAAGAGAATTTGAGATGGAAAGGAGAGAGGATGATAGATAATGGGAGAATGAGAAATGGGTAGATGATAATAAGAAATTTATAATAGAGAATAGATTAAGAAAAGATAATACTTAGAAAAGATAGTAGATGCAATAATACAATTAAAGTGAGGGATTTGTAGTTCATTGGGATTATACATTAGGATTACCTAGAAGAAGTAATTACAGTTAAGTTGTATTCGGTGTTTATAATGGATAATAAGTAATTTGTTAGCCAAGATTAGTTGAACCTAGAGAAAGTGAAACAGAAAATTAAAATCATAATAGATGCATTTTTGGTGATGCTCATTAAGTTTTTGAGGTACCTGCACATCCAGATACTTTGATGATTATGGAAGTTTAAATTCCTTTCAGCAAAAGAGTTGAAGATAATGTAGGTAGAACTGAAACATATGGATGGACTCAAGTGGATCTATTTGATCATAATAAATAATTAAAGAGAGGAAAATTTAAATGTCCTGTTTATTATGGACCTACAAGTCCAGAGATTACTGTTGAAGAAATATAGAACTTAGAACCAATTCCTAATTGTTGGGTTTACTTTAGAATAGGTTATCCAAATGATAAAGATTATGGAGAAGTAAAAACTATTTATCCTGAATAAACTCAACATGAATATATAGTACCTTATATCCATTTGAGAGGATTATTTGGAAAGAGAGAGAAGGTTAAAAATATGAGAGGAATGGAAGAAAGCTATGAAACTAGATATGGGGGCAGAGGATATAAGATGATTGAGGAGATTATAGAAGAGAGTTAATTGATGGGTTAAGGAGCAGGAGGTAAATCTAATATGGAAGAATATGAGATAACTGGATAACCACCTCCTATGTAAAAATATGGGGTTAGATAGGAAGAACCTCCTATTGAAGATGATGGAAAATAATAAGGATTGAGATTGATCATTTATAGAGTTGATAATCATTAAGCTAGGTCTCATTTAAGAGTTATGGCAGGATTATTTGAGGAAGGAAATTTAGTTTTGGATGCTAATGGATTACCAGTTGCATTTAATACATCTATACATAATCCATTAGATCAAAAGAATAGACAAGTTTTATAAAATGAAAAATTTATTATACCTTTACACAAACCTAATGTAGAATATGATGGAATGAATAATAAAGCATCAGGTCAGGATATAGTATTTTAAGAGGAATATAGAGTATTTAGAAATTTATATGCAATGACTAAGAAAAACAAGAAGGACTTATATATTGGATTGTAGGTAGTAGAAAAACCAGAACCAGTTGAATTGTAGGAATCCATATTAAATGAAACTTAAAAGAATTATGCAGGTTTAGAATTTGATTTAAAGGGATGGCAATTTCTCAAATTAACTTAAGAAGATGGCAGTCTTTTGACTGGAAGATTCAAAATGAAATTGTTTAAACCTCCTTTAAGACGTCCACCTATAGATCCTACTAAAGTATAAGAAATGGATGAAGTAATTGATTTTGCTTTACATTAATTTTCATATACAGAAAAAGATATTGAAGAATTTAAAAAATAGATGAAAAATAAACATAAGAAACCAAAATTAGAGGAGATTAAAGATATACCATTAGATAATAGTCCATATATACCAAATTTTTAGTAATAATGGATAAATGAATAATTTGAAAGAAGACATGGTATAGATTTTTATATAGATGGATTAAGATTCTTACCTGATAAAGTTACAGCTTGTAAAATGTACATGGAAGTTTATAATAGAAGATATGAAAAATTATTTGAAGCTGAAACTGCAGCTCCTGATCTTAATAGTATGGCTTATAATCCAACATTCTATTTTAGAAGAGAATTAAGAAAAGAAAAATTTGATCCAACTGCTATAGCATTGATTACTGTTGTAACAGTAGACAAAAGTACTAATGATAACAGAATTGTTGGTTATGCTGCTATTAATCTATTTTTGAATCCTGGTACTAAATCATAACCTGAAGATTCAAATGAAGATAATTATGTAGTTTATTCTGGAGCATATCAGATACCATTATTTAGTTAATAATTGGACAGAACACCACCATTTGATATGAAAAAAATGTAAATAATATTTTGAAAATTTAGTTATTCTCATGAAAGATCTCCATGTTGTACTGTATTGGTCAGAATGTATAAAGCACCTTTAAGTGAAGATGGCAAAAGAGCCTTATCCATTAAAGAATTTCCTAGCTTAAAAGATCAAATAGCTAGAAATATAATGAGACCTCGTCCTTAATATGGAGCAGGTGCTTACAACACTGAGTTAGCTCCTATAACTGAATCAGAAAATGAATTATTTGCTTAAAGAACTATCAGACCTGATATAAGTGTTCGAGAAGCTGCTTATTTACTAATAAAAGGAGAATAAATTAATAGATAATATAAAGATAATGAAATAATTAATTATTTGGACAATCGTATATCCTTAACTCATGATACATTTATGATTGATATGATGTATTTTGCCAAATATAGACCACAAGCAGGATTTAAATTAACTGTTGATGGATTACATAATGTTGTTAATCAATCACATATGTATGTAGTCTTTTATTCCTTATCATAACCAGGAACATTTTATTTAGAACCTAGAGATGTTACTTAAGGACATATGTGTTCTAATTATGATTTTGATTCTAAAATCAATACTCCTGAATATGATGATGCTTGGTTTAAATTCAAAGAAAATGCTAATAGATATCAAAACATCATTTTGGATATTAAATCAGTACCATTTTCTAAACCTGATGGAGCTATTTCTGATGTAGGTTGGACTATATTACCTGTGTTTTCACCTGATAATTATGTTATGTCTAATTGTTATCAATTACCTGTTTTTAGAGGATCAGTCCCAAGAGCTGTAATTGAAGATATTAAAAAATAAGATACTTGGGATTATCTTAGAGACTAAGTAACTAATAATAAAGTATTTTATCTCAAAAATATGTCTATCATTGTTAGATTAGTAGATGCTTAAAGAGAAGTAATTTATTATTTCATTTTAGGGACATTTTAATAAACGTATGGATTGTGATAGATTGTAATATAAGTATCTACCATAAGGAGAACGAATCAAATAATGGTCTTACAATCCTGCTGTTGTTTTGGATTAGATGAGTATGAAGACTATTAAATCTTTAATACCATTCAAAGACAATCCAGCTGCTTTTAACAGAAAAGTCACAGAGTATTTTGCCAATTCATATGGTTTAACTCAATATCTTGGAAGTTGATTATATATATATATTATTAAATGTTATAGAATTCTTAAAATAGAATGATGGAACTGTTTATTATAGCAGTACCATTAATAAAAGAAAATTTATTATAAAAGTAATGGAAATATAAATCTAAATTATAGTATACCTAAGATAATTGTTATAATAATTGTTTATATATAGGAAAATGAACTTTATAAAGTGATTAGTATCCCGTAAAATTATGGTTATGAAATTTAATAAAAGAATTATAATACTTTAATTTATGTTATTTAAAATGCTTTTTGCAATTCAAAAAGCTAGATAATATTTTTTAAAAACCACATTTTAATTTATGGATCAAAAACAAAGTTTTGCCAGAAGAGACAAACTAAGAGCTATTGAATAATCAATCTAAGATTAATGGGCAGCCAATTAATCTTTCTAATCAAATCCAGATGAGAGAAAGAAATTTTTCTTGACTTTTCCATTCCCTTATGTAAGAAATTTTAATATTCTATTAGGCCAATGGTAGATTACATTTAGGTCATTCATTTTCATTTAGCAAGTGCGATTTTATTGCAAGATTTAAGAGACTTTAAGGTTAAAACGTACTTTTGCCATTTGCATTTCATTGCACTGGAATGCCAATTAGTGCTGCTGCTAAAAGACTTTAACGTGATTTGGATTTATTAGTAAAATTAATAGTTAATTTTAGTAATAAGGAAAAGAATTACCAAAACCAAGTTAATATTAATCTCTTCTTTAAATGAATATAAAAGAAGAAGAAATTCCTAAGTTTGCTGATCCATATCATTGGATTCGTTTTTTCCCATCTTTAGGTAAATAAGATTTGATTTCTTTTGGATCCTCAGTAGATTGGAGAAGAAGTTTTATTACTACAGATGAAAATCCATATTTCAATTCATTTATTGAATGGCATTTAACTAAATTGAAGGAAGCAGGATATGTTAAATTTGGATAAAGACCTTCAATATTTAGTACTTAAGATGGTTAATTGTGTGCTGATCATGATAGAAGAGAAGGAGAAGGAGTTAACCCATAAGAATATACATTAATTAAATAAAGAGTATTGAAACCAGAATTGATAGATGCAGTCTTAACAGGAAAAAATATCTTTTTGGTATGTGCTACTTTAAGACCAGAAACAATGTATGGTTAAACTAATACATTTGTATTACCTGAAGGTGAATATGGAGTATTTGAAATGAAAAATGATGAATTTTTTATTTGTAGTGAAAGATCAGCATTAAATATGGCTTATCAAGGTTTAACTAAGGAAGATAAAAAACTTAATAAAATAGCTACAGTTAAAGGATCATAATTAATTGGTATGGAAATCAAAGCTCCTTTAACTTAATATGAAAAAGTATATGTATTACCTATGCCTGGAATCAAAATGAATAAAGCTACTGGGGTTGTTACATCAGTTCCAAGTGATGCACCTGATGATTGGGCTACTTTAAGAGATTTATAAAAGAAACCAGATTTTTATTAAATTAAACCTGAATGGGCTGATTTCAAACCTATTCCAATTATTGATGTTCCTAAATATGGTGATTTAGCTGCTTTGACTGCATGTGATCAATTCTAAATTAAATCATTAAAAGATAAAGATTTATTGTAAAAAGCAAAAGAAGAAGTTTATAAGGCAGGTTTTTATGAAGGAAAAATGATTATTGGAAAATATAAAGGAATGAAAGTTTGTGATGCTAAACCATTAGTTAGAAAAGATATGATTGAAAGTGGTGAAGCTTTACCTTATTTTGAACCAGAAAATACTGTAATTTCAAGAAATGGTGATGAATGTGTTGTTTCTTATTGTGATTAATGGTATATCACATATGATAATTAAGAATGGAAAGAAAGAGTTAAAGAACATGTTAAAAATAATTTTGAAACTTATAATGCAAAAGTTAAATAAGAATTATTAGATGCTGTAGATTGGATTAGAGAATGGGGATTGTCTCGTAGTTTTGGATTAGGTACAAAAGTACCTTGGGATAAGTAATATTTGATTGAATCTCTTTCAGATTCAACCATTTATTTTGCTTATTATACAGTTGCTCATTATTTATAAGGAGATTTGAATGGAACTATTCCAGGACTTGCTGGATTCACTGCAAATCAAATGACAATACCAGTATATGATTATTTGTTTTTGGGTAAAGATAGTGAATAAGTACCTGCAGAAATGAAATAATAATTGGATATTATGAGAAAAGAATTCTTGTATTATTATCCAATGAATTTGAGATCATCAGGAAAAGATTTAATTAAAAATCATCTTATTTTTGCATTGTTTAATCATGCTGCTGTTTGGAAAGATTAACCTGAATTATGGCCAAAAGGTTATTTCTGTAATGGTTATATTTTGGTTGATGGTGATAAGATGGCAAAGTCTAAAGGAAATTTTAAGACAGTTGAAGATATGATTAAGACTTATGGTGCTGATGCAACAAGATTAGGATGTGCTGAAGCAGGAGATTTATTGGATGATGCTAATTATGAATTAAAATTAGCTGATTCTGGTATTTTGAAATTGACTACACTTGAAATGTACATTGAAAAGATATTCCCTGTATTATAAAATTATCGTACTCAAGCTTAATCTAAAAATATTGAATTTTTTGATAATGTCTTTGAAAGCTAAATAAATTATTAAGCCATTCAAGTTATTTAAAATTATGAAGAAATGAAATTTAGAGATGTAGCCAAAAATGGATTTCATGTCTTATAAGGATATAAAGATGATTATTTACTTGCTGTTTAAGCTGAAGGACCAAATAAAAATTTAATATTAAAATACATTGAAATTCAATTAACATTAATGAATCCAATAGTTCCTCATATAACTGAATATTGCTATTAGAAATACTTGTATCCTTTTGTCAAAGATTAAGGTTATCCAGAGACATTAACCAAATTTGTCTTACCTAATGTTGGAACTTATGTTTATGATGCAAATATTCTTAGATAATATAATTACCTTTAAAATTTAATGAGTACTTTGAGAGTGGCTATTGCTAAATACAAAGAAACTCTTAAGAAGTAAAAAAAGCCAGAAGTTATAAACAAGGTTTCATTGGTTGTAGCTAAAGATTTTGCTGATTGGTAGAAGGAAGTCTTAATTTATATGAATAGACAATTAATTGATAATGAACCAGGCTTTGATTTCAATACTTAAATAAAAACAAATAAGAGTAAAAATATGGCTGCTTAATTATAATTTAGTAATTATATTATGGTAATAATTTAATATCAAATTTTAGGGTGAATACAAATAAAGAGGAGCTGATGCAATCAATCCAAATCCTACTCTTGATGAAGAAGCATTCTTAAACAATTTTACTCAGTATATAATTACAGATTTAAAGATTAAAGAATTTGCAGTAATTTTATTTTTTTATTATTCTTTAGATTATTGATTCTACAGTAGCATAAAAGAGTGATATTAAACCAGTTCAATAAGCAGGTAATAATGCACAACCTGGAAAACCCTGTCCATTATTTGAATGATGATATACCAAAATAAATGTTCAAAATTATTAACATTAAATTCATATTTTATTAAAAGCATTGTTTAAATAATTATTTCCTTATAATAAATGCAGATAAATAAATCTAAATTTATAAAATAAAGAATTTTCTATATTTTCTCTGTTTTCAAATTTAATTAATATTATTTTCTAGTTTTATATTCATTAATTATGCTTATATTTAACATATTCTTATATCATTTATTAGATTATGTATAATAATTAACAAAGATTAAAAATTACACATATTAAATGAAATAATGTAATTCATAATATTTGTTTATAAGTATAAGAATTTTTAATAATAAAAAGAATAAGTAAGGTATTAAATTATTATCATAATATTCCTATTATTTCTTTGAATGACTGATTTATAAATATATGAATGTTAAGATATATGACAAAATATTCCAAAATAATATCATTTTTCTGTTAATTAATAATTAATATTCTAAGAAATTAAATAAAAATTAAATAATTCCATAACATACTAAAATGATTATATTTATATTATATATGGATTCAGTAATATTGACTTCTGACTGTATCATTTTCTATAGTAAATTCTTTTTATTCTTTGAATTTCTTCTTGAGTCATATAAGAATTCATGATTTTCTCTCTTTCTCTTAAATAAGCAGCTGTGTCAGAAATAACTCCTTTTTTTGCACTACTAGGAGCAGTATAGCTTAGTTCAACTCTAATGGGTGAATCATATTTATTTTCCTTTTTGTAAATATCTCTATCATATTCATATTACTGTGTTTATAAATGCTTAGTATTTTAATTGGGTCGATAATTGTAAGAATTCTAATATCGTTCTTCTACTAAGGATTAATTCATATCTCTAGGATATTGTTAGTAATAAGAATATTTTAATTCATTTCGCTTGTAGTTTCTCTTGAATTCTTCATATCTGGCCAATTACTAATCTAATCTACTTTGTTCATCTCTTTTATAGAATGCACTTGATGTCCTATTCTATTCTGGTATATAGTCTCTATATAGATGATAAAAAGAATACGAGATTTAGACATTCCTAAATTTGAAAGACTCCGTTGAGGCTGATTCATTTCTGTTAATTATAAATAAGTAATCATCAAATAACAAGTAAATTCAAATTTCCTCTATAGACAACTGTAACCATTATTTAAAGACATCAATTTTAAGAGATTATGTATACTTGATTGCCTTTGTTAACAATAATTCTTAAGCTTTTGTTCTATCCTTTGGTTCCTGTTAGAGACTAATAAATGATAATATAAATAATGAAATTACCATCTAGAAATGAAGTAAATAGTATTTTCTGATATAGCATGTTTATGTTAATGAAAATAATCATCAATTTTGAAATTCTTGCTCATTTAAATGTATTCTATCATACTCATTTTTTTGGCATCAAATTCAAATGGTAAAAGACCTGTAATACATTACATAGTCATCATGCCAACACTCCAAATATCACAATCATAACCATATTCTTCTCCATTTAATCTTTCAGGAGACATGTATTAAATAGTACCAATAAATGTATCAAATTTCTAATCTGAATTCTCACTAACAGAACAAATTCCAAAATCACCAATTTTAACTTCTCCCTTTTTATTGATTAGTATATTGTGAGGTTTGATGTCTCTATGTATAATATGTTTATTTGTATGCAAATAATCTAAACCTTAAAGTACTTCTTTGATTATTAACATAGTAATGGATTCTGGTATTTTTTTAGTTTTTTCTAATATTATCTACAAAGATCCCATGTCCATGTACTCCATAACAATGTATATTTCTCCTTTAGAATAAAATGCACCATAACATTAAACAACATATTATGAATTGCAATCAATAAGTGCCTTTAATTCTTTCTTCAATAATGACTCCTAAACATCATTACTAACATAATGTATTTTCTATATGAATAAAACATAATAATAATACCTTTAAAGCATAATAATCATGTGTAGGTTTGTGAAGTACTTTCTCAACACTACCATAATTTCCTTATCCTAATTTACAGACTATTTCAAAATCTTCCAATTTAAGATCCTTAAAGTGTTTTGATTCCATATATGTGATATCTAATGGGTTTGAACATTATATATACTTTTTGTAAAGGTAAGACCTTTAGAATTAAGACGAAATTAGCTAAGTACTAAAGATCCATTAGCTGAGCTTATAATAGAGAAATAATCTCTTACATATTTTACATTTTCTATGGCTCTTCAGCTGCGAGAGAACGTAAAAACAATCTTCTTCTGCTAGAATCATTGGATTGCATTAATATATAATATTTATATTAAAGAACTACGTCTTCTCAAATAATTGGATATTATGTTAAATGCTCAATGATTATAAGATTACTATAATTGAAATTCCAAAAACATTGTGATAATTTAATGATGAATATCATATTTCCCATTTTAATTATAATAAAATATGTATTAGGGATCCAACCTTTCTCGTACAGGTCAGATGGCTGTATCAAATGATTAAGTCTCAAACTAGCTAAAACTACTCAAGGCAAAGATGAGCAATCGTGACACTTGGTAATAAGGAACCAATCAGCAACTAGACGGTTATCCCCACACACAACCTACTAAACCATCACAATCACCTCTTTATCCCAAAAGTGACTATGACTTTTACACTATGAAGCAACAATAGTAATAGCAAATCCAATCCAATTCATAGCCAAAGATAATTGATCCACGCACTCTTAATTATCAATAATTATAGCAATATAAACAACAATAAGTACTTCCACCTCAAAATCCTATTCGAAATGATCCCTATCTAGGTATGAATGCAATTAATAGACTCAACTACTATGATTAACTTCAAAAATACAAAGATGACCCATATAAAAAGAGTAGTAACTTAAACACTTATAATTCTCCTTAGAGCTATTATGAACAATAATTAAATAAAAGACAATAATAATAATAATTAATACAATAACCCCCTAAATATTATGATGATATCTTAGCTAAGAAATAATAAACTTATGGATATTAATAAAATAACAATTATGATTTTACATAATAACCAATTTCATTGCAAAATAAAAATGATTATATGAATTACAACAACAATAATTACTTGAATAATGGTCTTTATAGCAATAATTTATAATGGTAAAATACAAACTAAAATAATCTTTATAATAATAACAATTAGAATTATAATTAAAATTTGTAATAATTATCTTCTCAGTCTAATCAATATAACTAATACAATCTATATGGGAATCAGAATATTAATACTTAATAAAATTAATAATAATCTTCATAAAATTAATATAATTATAATTAGAACACTTAGTCTTTATCTCCACTCAAGTAACAATAAGCATCCTAATAATTGAAATATTCTCAACACAATTCTTAACCTCTACTCGAAAAAAGAGATAGGCCATTTGAAAGATAATATGATCCAATCCCTGAATAATAAAAGTAAATTTAAGAAATACCAGAATAATATAACAAACCTTAACCAAGAAAATAACAATAACCCTAATAATAGCCATCATATAATTAAAATAATACTAAAGCATTTAATCCTATTGATGAATTGCCTGCTGTTGCTAAGAAAAATCAAACCAATCAAATTCCACCTCCTGAAGATGATGATGATGGTGATTTACAAGAATGTCCAGAAGGATGTGGTAGAAGATTCAAAGAAAATGCCTTAGATAAACACATTAAAGTATGTAAAAAGGTATTTTAATCAAAAAGAAAAGAATTCAATTCAAAAGCACATAGATAAGTTAATTAAGAATAAGCCAAATTAGAAAAGTAAGGGTAGGTTAAAGATAAAATAATTGAAAAAAAAAAATAAATGGCTTAAAATGGAGATCCAAAATGGAAAAAATAATCAGAAGCATTTAGATAAATGATAAGTGCAGTAAAATAAGGAGGAACTGTAGAAATTTAACCTTAAGATGACTTAGTTGAATGTCCTGCTTGTGGTCGTAAATTCAGTGAATAAGCAGCTGAAAGACACATTCCAGGTTGTAAAAAAAGAACCTTCAAAAGATGATAATTATATTATTAACTATTTATGTAGAATACAGACCTTCACTTTCTATTGATTCTACCAAACATTTAAATTAGTCCATTATATGATATTCAATATTCAAAACGTATGTTAGGTAATTTCTTAAATGGGAATTTGCTTTAAACTTCTTTAAAAGTTTATTTTATTTTTTATCAAAAAATGTTTTAATAAATTTGCATATATCATTGCTTTAATTTCAAAAAGAGAAATTAATTGATACATAAGATATTATAAAAATAATTTGACTTATCAACTTATTATTTATTTAAATAAAGGTAAAAGTTATATAGTTTCAAATTCAAGAAGCTAAAGAATGTTATTTTATAGAAATAATAATTTTAATTTGGAAAAAATGTTGATAAATAATTTTATCTTTATGAATAATAAGCCTTAATATCTTTCATTTTTTAAGATTAATGGCAATGTAAAAAATAGATAGTTTAATTTAAAAAATACATTCTCCTTTAACTTCACTTTAATGAAATAATTATAAATATATCAACAGTTTAATTTTTAGAACAATAAAAATTTGTTAGCTATAATAAATAATTTTAGCCTTGAAAAACTAAGAATTTTTCATAAGATCGTAGTATTAAAGTAAATGTAAACGGAAACTGAGATTTTATACAATTTTTAGATTTAAAATATATTTGATGTAAATATTTTGTAATTACCTTGGTTATGCAAAAAAGAAATCATATCACTTATACAAAATATTAGTAATAGTAATATTATCAAAAGCTTGAAATTACAATTTCTAGATCTTTTATTTATTAGAAATCTTATTAGATATTTTAGTAAATAATATAATTTATATATAGGTTTTATCAATTATCTAAAATCAATAAAGTATAATTTTAAGATTCTTGATTATTTAGTGTAAATTATATCTGATTTGAAACTTCGAAATTTTCAATATTTTTATTTAATTAGATTTATTCTAAATTATGAATATATAGATAGAGAATAATCCTAAGATTATATACTTTATTTATATATAAATTCACTCTTGATATTTCCTATTTACAATATTTCAAAAAAATTAAATTTTGTTAAATTCCATAATGAAGTAATTAATATAATCTTATATATTTAGATTAACACATAATTAATAATTTGAATATAATCCATATTTGACTGAACTCTAAAACTCAAGTTTTTTATTATTTATTAGTCACTATTATTCTATTTATAATTTGATTATATAATATATAGAGATAAAATAATATCAGATTTTCTAATATTTTATTATTGAGAAATATGTTTAAATTGATGTTTGAAATAGATAAAAATATTCAACGAAAAAAGAAGTCAAATAAATACAAAAATGACAATCAATTTTTAACGATTTTAACAAAAGAATTGTTTCTACTTCTATAAGGTTTTTTTGTTTAATGATGAGAAGAGCTTTGATCGACTCTTACTAATCTACTTGTATTACAATAATAGGAATTAGATTTATCTGAGTCTGCAGTACTATTTTCAGTAAGAATTGTTGATTATTATGTTTCACATTTTTCAGCTAGTTTTGCTTAAAGTTCTTTATATTGATTCCTTAATTAGATTATTTATTTGTCTTTTCTTAAAGGTATAGCACTTTAACAAATCAATAATTTTTGTTTCATTTCTTATATTTCTCTTTTTATTTAAAAGTTTTAATCTAACATTGCAGCATTCTAATCTTCAAGTAATTTACGATTTTAGATTTATTCTTGATTTTCTTTAATCATTTTTTAATATTATTCACTTAATTTTCGATTCTACTCCATCTTCAACATTATCAATTAATATTATTCTTTGCTAACTAAAATATTAGTTTGAGGCTTGTCATTATTTTAACTATCATTTATTATTTTTTGAGAATTAATCAAATGTAAAGCAGAAAAACTAAATTCTAGAGGCAAATCAGCAAATGAATCTTAATTTGGAATATGATTTTAGTTATGATGAGGATCATCTAATGTTGAGGAATCTTATAGAGAATTATTGAATAGTTCAGTCAGTTGATTGATAGACAAATATATGGGCTTAACAACTTAATCTTGCATTAATAATTATATAAAAATGATGAATCTATTCATTTTATACTCTCAATTAAACAATCAAATAGAGTTATATATATATATATATATATATTATAAATATTTAGGGAGTTTGTTGAGTTGATTAATCTTCCAATTCTAATGTGTGTAATACTACTTTATATATATTTGATTATGAAAATTAATGTTGTCAACAATGGATAATTTATATAGTTTATTTTGAAAAAAGATATATTTAAGACTTACTAAAGTAATGAATCTTTATGCATCTTATATTCATGATCAATTTAATATATAATTATAAAATTGTTAGAGAATTTTAACCTCCTAGATATAATACTTTTTCAAACTTTTCTAATTTAATAATCATAAAAAAGAGAAGGACATAAAAAATAAGAGGATTAGATCAATCATATTTAATTTTTAATGTTTTAAATTATATTTTATAAGTTGTTGTTTATTAGGAAAATGAATTGATAGAAGTTGATATTCAGAATTTGGAAGGATTTATGTAGTATATTCATTGGGGAATATGAAATATAGATTTCTAGAAATTTTGAAAGATTAGATTATGAATTAGCTTTTGAATTGAAGTAATAATTTTATTTTTATGTAACAAAATTAAGAAAATGCTTAGAATCTGATTTTAAATTATTGTTTAGTTGGTTTGGGAGAGAAATTGATTCCAATGATGAAAAATTAAAGAAGTAATGTAGAGTGGATATTTAATAGGGTTGTTGACATCAATTTAGTTAAATGAAAAAAAATGTAAGACCCTTTTTAATGAACAAAACATAATATTATAGGAATCATTAGATATCTTGGGAAATGAGAAATTATTTCTACTCTGCATTTATAATGAACCAAATAAAGATCCAATTACTAATATTGCATTTATTAATGTAGAGGTTAGAGAAAGTCAAATCTAATTTAAATACAAATACAGTTTATGCCCAATTATGAAATAGGCTGATGTAATGAAATCAATTCAAGTCACAGATTGGGGTCTAATCAAAGATTAAGAACGCTTTGATATCAGTCCTTATTTATCTGAATAAAATATATGCTATGTACTGTGTTATACTAGAAAAACAGATTATGTTCCAATAATAAACTTAGTTTTGGAAGACTATGATCCACATCATGATTTATAAGATATTGTACAATTTAGTTCATTTAGCAAGAAACAATTATCAATAATTAGATGTAAACAAATCCTTATATATATTATTCATAGAAAAACCACCATTAGAATAAACCTATACTCCTGAAATACTTGATTTATATCCATTTTGTTATAAGGAATCATAAAAACAGAAACATAATTAAAATTTATTCAATGACAATCCTTCAATTAGTAATTATTGTATTCCAGAAGGAATTCAGATTATATAAAAAACACCAAATCAACTTCCAAATCAAAATTAAATTACTTATTATTAATTAATGTAATCTCCAAAAGGTGATCTCATATACATATATTGTTTACGTTATTATGAATAATTGACTAAAAAATAAGCATAGAAACTTAAATTAGACAATTATACCAATCTTTTTATTCCAAAAGTTATGGCTATAATAAGTTATTAAAACTTCTCTAGCTAATTTTCATAATTATTGACTTACTTATATTCCATAAGAGATGATTCATAAATTGAAGTAATAAATATAAATATCAATTATTAGTAATATATAGAAAGAGTTATTTAATAACTAAAGTATTCTATAAATCTCGATAAGATCTCCCTTAAATTAATATTAAATGACTAATAATTTCTATTTTAAAAACATATCAAATATCCAACATGTTAATTGAAATCAATTGAATATGTTATGCGTAATATTACTGTGGATAATATAATATAACTATATACTGCTGTTTTAACAGAAAGAAAAATTAGATTATGTTCAAGTTCTATTCTAAATCCTGGTTATGTAATTGAAGCTTTAATGACCTTTATCTATCCTTTGTAATATTAAAAATTATTGATTTGCTATTTGAATTACGACAATTCCTAAATTATTGAAACTCCAGAACCATATATTGTTGGCTTACTAGAAACTTTACCTTAACCAGCTTGTGAATCTGAAGGATATAAATTTATTTTGGATTACAATGTGGCTTTTCATGTTTGTCCTCCACCTGAATTTCCTCTTTTTGATAAATTAAAGAAAAAGTTAGAACCTTTTTTTAAATAAGATATCAATGAAACAAATGCTAATATGATCAAAGAGATTTTTCTTAAGATTAATATGAAAATACTAGATCATGCATTTGATTATGATATCAAATAAAAAAATTGGAGCATTGCATTTTAAAAGAGGAAACAATCTTAATATCCAATAAAAGGTCAATTTTGGGAAATCTTCTCAAGAACTTAACTATTATGTTCTTTTATAGATAACAATCAATCTAATCGATAATTAGCTTCATATATTACATATTTTAATGCTTCTTTCTAATAAGTCAATGAAAATAATAACACCAAGATATTTGCAGATATCAAAACAATTAATATAAATGATCAAAACAGTTCATAAATTCAAACAAGAAATAAATAATCATTTTTCCCTTATCTTACTCCTTACTATTATATTAGAAATAAATAAACTGCCTTGTAAACATAAGTCTACAGAATTTGGTTACAAATTATACATATGACTTAGTTAGATAGTAAAGAATTTTATGAATTGGCAATTTATCTGAAAAAGGAAATTCCAATTATCTAAGATTTCATTTAATAGAAGGAACATGTATAATTACATTAATATGATGATTTGAATGAAAAATAGTTTTTATTTTTAAATGAATGTCCTTATTGTAAGAGACAAATTTCTATCGAAGAAATATTACATAAGATTGTGCCTACTTACTTACGTCAGACAATCAAGTGTTCAAAAAAGAAAGGGTGTGGTAATCAATTTACTCCAAAAATGACT